CGCTCACTAGCTGAGCGAGGCGCGGGGGCAACACCGAGGGTTGTGATCCCGTTGCTGGTCCCGGTCCGGTACGGGGGCGACACTGAGGGTTGCGATCCGTTGCCAGACACGGAAAAAGACAAAAAAAAAAAAAAAATTGCTGAAAATAATGTTTTCAATAAATTGTTACTAAATTTTGCAGCTTTTTTTTTTTTGTCTTTTTCGTGACCGGTAAGGGGATCGCAACTGGCCATCACTATATAGAATCCGAACCCGCGGCGGGAGCGTCGCTGCGCTTCCAGCACCACACTCTCCCTAGTGCGCCACGGGGTCGGCCGGCAGCTTTTAACATAGGAAGACCTAAAGGAATAATGTGAATTATCCATACTTTCATTGGAGAATTTTCATAAGAGACAAGCTAAATCCTTACATTTTAGTAGTAATTTTAATTTCCTTATTGTCTGGCATTAGGACAGTATCCCTGCATGGTAGATCCTCTTGGAAAGTTGTATTTGAATAAGGTATTTTTGGAGATGTATGTAAATTATAAAGTTAGTCCTCAGTGAGCACTGTTTACCCAGGTATACTATTTTTCGTTATTACTGTTAGTTATAAAGCCCATTAGAGTTGAGATTTTGGTAACATAGTTTTATGGAGAGAATCAAGAAATACTATAGCCAGCATATTATCAGTAGCTATAGCCAAATATGAATAATTTTTTGTGATATTTTTATTTTATTTGAATGGTCAAAGTACTGATATATTTTTCTTTATTTCTGCATTTATCTTAAGGTTTCTTAAAAGGTATTTTAAGCTGTTATATTCTGATAATGAGTGAGTACAGCAAGGAGGCTAGTATGTCTATTCTTGCTTTTTAATTGCAATATAACAGTAGCTGTCCCAGAAAATTTAAAAACTTGAACATGTTCCTTAATATTTATTTATGACCAGATAGAGAAAAATATGGAAAACATTATCTTGAGAACTTTTTCTTTTGTAATTTTGAGCAATGGGTGAAGTTAATTAAATTGTGAATGCATGTTTTTTTGGTTGGATCTCAACTGTCATGTTCTGTTCCTTTTTTTTTTTTTTTTTTTTTTTTTAATTGCAAACTGACTTGTTTATGAAAATGTTCTTTTTAGAAGAGCTTTGAGGACAGAATACCTTTATTGCTTTTGTTATAGATGTCAAAATAACATTTGCAGTTACTCTGGAAACTGTGCTAGCTGGTCATGAAAACTGGGTAAATGCAGTTCATTGGCAGCCTTCATTTTACAAAGGTAAAAAGAAAAACAAACACATTTCTCATTTCAGTTAAATCTCACAGAGTTTTAGCTGACCAGTTGAAGTGTATATTTTTGAGTCTGATTAGAATTCTCAAATACAAGGCATTTTCAAGTAGGCAAAGTGTAGTACTACATTCCCGGACTCTTAGACACTAAATTCTGTTGAAGATTGCACTCTTAAGTTGGAAATGTATGATTCCTGCCATGTTGCTGAAACCACCACACCCCCATTAGCTTTTTCTGTGAAGAGTTTCCACCAGGTCATTATGGGATTTAAGAAATATTGACTTTCAAGCCAACTTTACTGGAAACTTTACCCGTTGTATACATAGTTGTAATACTGAGATATGTTATTTATGAAAAAGAAGACTCCTGCCCTTTCTTTCTTTGCTCTTAACCTCCATTTATGAAGTGACAGTTCTGTGCATGCCGAAGCTGGTGCTTGCGTATAGAGCTGAGCAAGGGATAGCCTCACATTCTTTCCCCAATCACTTCCCTAAGACAAGAATAGCAATCGTTAATGCTCAGGTAACCACTATTCTACTCTTACTTTATGCCATATTTGCTACAATTACAAAAACAAGTAAATGAGACATTATAGAGACTAAGGACCCCTGCATATTCTTTCCTGAGCCTTTCCCTTCCATCCTTCCCTAGAAGTAACTACAGTACTAAATTCAGTGCATATCATTCCCATGTATGTTTTTATATTTTTATTACACATTTGTATAGCTATAAACAGTTTTGTTTGAAACCTATTAAAGCTTGATGTCAATATATATTTATCCTTTGACAACTTGCCTTTTTAGCTTAATGTGTTTTGGAGATGTACCCATGTTGATTCGTGTGGCTGTAGTTTACTTACTTTTATTGCATTATAATATTCCATTGTCTGAATATACCAAAACTTATCTGTTCTTCTAATGGTAGACATTTGTGTTTGCCAGTTTTTGCTATTACAAACAATGCTGCAGTGAGTGTTCTTGTAGTACCCCTGTTGATTTTTTTTTCTGGTAATCTACAAATATGATGCTTGTCGATGACCTAAAGATATTAGTTTTTATTCTTTAGATGGTGTTCTACAGCAGCCAATGAGATTGTTGTCTGCCTCAATGGATAAAACTATGATTCTCTGGGCTCCTGATGAAGAGTCAGGAGTTTGGCTAGAACAGGTAAAAATGTGGATGTTTAAGGAATAAGAAATTGGGTTTTGTAAATCGTCTATTTCAATCTTGAGTCTGTATTCCTAGAGCTGCAGTTATTCACCCTTTGTATTTGTTAAATGAGTGGGAATTTAACAATCCTTGGAAACATTGGTTTCCATTGTGAGAAATGTAGACTACTCATTGAGAATTATTTTCTGTCTCTTATTGCATAGGTTCGAGTAGGTGAAGTAGGTGGGAATACTCTGGGATTTTATGATTGCCAGTTCAATGAAGATGGCTCCATGATCGTCGCTCATGCTTTCCATGGAGCATTGCACCTTTGGAAACAGAATGCAGCTAACCCAGTAAGAAAAACACTGTTAAATAAAGTATTTCTGATCAAATGGAGTGAATCGTAAATGAAATCCAGCTAAATAGTGTTATTTTACTTATAACACTGTACAGAAACATAGTAGAGGTATTTAAGTTCAAGTGATATTTCTTTCTGTAGACATTATACTGTAGTTATACTAGGTAAGAAACTCGTGCTTTTCTAGTAAAAAAAGTACTTATTGGTACAGCATTGTTGAGAATTGTTGAAAATTGCCTATAGGTAAATTTTTTACATAAGTGAACTGTATCCCCTTAAGCTATATAATTTTTTCATTGGTAGTTTTCCTAAAATGTTTAACTTTCCTGTCTTCTTGTAAAGGATGATATAATTGGATGTTTTATTGTTGGACCGCCAGGTACTCCATAAATAATGAATGAGTGAATGGACATTCAATCAATAAGTATTAGGAGCACATGTTATTTTGTGATGGAATATATTGATGCTGTCAGGGGTGTTGATATGTGTAATTGTAAATGGCCCTCCAAATATTGGTCTTTTAGATATTATAATTTTTGGTTTCTGACATGTAGCTGTCTCTCTGCAGCATTCCTTCTCATACTTTATAATTTGCTTCTGATCTGTTGCTTTGGGTTTGGGGAAATTAGATAGCAGGAACGTAGTGGCTAAGAGCATAGGTCCTGGAGCTTGATGGCCTGGATTCAGATCTTGATGCCTACCAATTACCAGCTGTGTCCTTGAGCACATTATTTAATCTCTGTCTCAGGTTCCTCATCTGTAAAATGTGGATAGAGATAGCACCTATTTATAGGGTTTTTATGGTGTTTAAATGGAGTTAATATTTGTAGAGTATAAGAAACAGCGCCTATTACATACTGGATATTTTAGAGTGTATTTTAAGTTAAGTAAATAATTGAAAGAAATAACATTAGTGAAATGTGAGTTTAGCAGATTCTGAATGTGCTTTTGACAATTCCCTTTATAAAGTAAAAATTGATGGCTTTGCATAACCTTTTGTTTGTGGGCTTTGTAATAGTTCTGTCACCTATGAGGTTTTGACTTTTCGATACATTGAGTGATTTACTCTTTCTCTTGTATCCTCCATTTGGAGTTGACCTTCAAGATTGTTTCCATTATTAAATGAACCAGTGAATCATCAGCTATGACCCTTTTAAAATAAAAAGTATCTTTTAGGATAAATTTAGTTTGATTCTTAGCTGGTCTCTGAGAACCTTTATAGAAAAAAGCATCAGATGAATAATGAACCCAAATTAGAAGCCAAAATTTCACTCTACTTGTGCTTATCATTTGACTTTAGATTTATAATAGCTACTTTACCAAGCATTGAGGATGATTTGTTTTTTAAATAGACTTTTTTAAAGAGCAATTTTAGGTTAACAGCAAAATTGAACAGAAAGTTCAACACATTCCCACATATCCCTGCCCCCACAAAAACACTGCCTCCTCCAGTGTCAACATCCCACACCAGAGTGGTACATTTGTTACAATCAAGGGTGATGCTTAAAGAGCAATTTTAGGTTAACAGCAAAATTGAACAGAAAGTTCAACACATTCCCACATATCCCTGCCCCCACAAAAACACTGTCTCCTCCAGTGTCAACATCCCACACCAGAGTGGTACATTTGTTACAATCAAGGGTGATGCTTTAAAAAGAAAAACAAGTTTGCCTTTTATGACTGTTAGTGCGGAAAACTGTACTGTTCATCCAGAAGTGCTGTCTCTTGCTCAAAACTTTTTGGAAACTACCATGAGTGCTAACTTCAGAATCAGTTTTGTGTCACAGAAGAAATTAATATCATTTCTTTGTTGTAGCCTTCACCACGTGATCTGTTCAGAAAGATGCTCTGCGGACCAGGCATTGACATTTTCTTTATTTTGTTGTCATTATTTGTTTACATGGTTGCTGCTACAGGCTCCTCAGTAGATGGACCAACTAGGTTTGATGAATCTTTCTGTCCTCTACACCTGCAATTCCTTTTACTTACTAAAGAAAGTCATCAGATACACACTCAGACTCTCCTCACTAATTTTACCCAATACTCTTCCTTTAACAAATATTCACATAGTATGTAGTATGTGCCAGCATTGTTCTTCGTACCTTACAGAGATAAACTCATTTAATTCCCTGTATGACCCTATGTGTTAGGTGCTATTATTATAATACTTATTTTGTAGAAGAGTTAATTGACGCACAGGAAGGTTAAGTAGTGTCTGGCTTCTAGGAGGCATCCAGTAAATGACGAATGGAATGAAATTTCCCGAGGTTACTGCTTGAAGGTTACAACATTACATTTGAATGACTAAGTTCGAATATGTTTGATTGGAAAAGCAGATACTCAGATTTTATGATTCCATCTTGTATACATAGCCTTTCACCTTGCTAGGGGGCTTCAATCTTTTCCATTAACAGACATGAGTGCTTTACTTTGATTGGTGGTGGTCTTTGATTATTTTGAAATGTGTCATGAGCACTTTTATTGCAGAGAGAGTGGACTCCGGAGATTGTCGTTTCAGGACACTTTGATGGTGTCCAAGACCTAATGTGGGATCCAGAAGGAGAATTTATCATCACTGTTGGTACTGATCAGACAACTCGACTTTTTGCTCCATGGAAGAGAAAAGACCATTCACAGGTACAGTGTCTTACTAATTGGCTGATCCAGTTTAAAAACAGCCATGAGCACATGAGAAGTGGGGCAACATTGTTAGCCATTAGGAAAATGCAAAATAAAACCTTGATGAGATGCCACTACACACCCCCTAGAATGGCTAATGTAAAAATACTGACAATAGCAAGTCCTGGTAAGGTTGAGAGTGACTGGAACTTTCACACATTGCTGGTGGGAATGCAAAATGGTATATATAGCCACTGTCAAAACAATTCCATTGTTGTCAACACATTTACATTAATTTCTCGTAGAAGTTCTGTTTTGTGTTGTAATTTAAGTTTTTCATTAGGAAGCATTATCAAGTCTACAGTAAAAACTAATTTCTAATTATATAGTGTTAGATAATAGTGGTTGAGGGCAGTTCTTATTCAAGAAAATTTTCAGTCTTGGCCCTGAGCTCAAATAATTGCAATAAAACTTTACCACTGTAAGCCATTGAAGTGACTATGGGTCAGTTCATGAGGGCTAATTAAGTTTACCACTGATACTACTGCTTCAGAAATACATGATAGATTCAAATGAATGGAGTTGAGAACTTTGGGAGCAACAGTTATAGTCAATTAAAAAAATTAGTCAAATGATTTGGAGCGGTTTTCTGTGGCTCTTAGTGATTTGTTAATAGTACTGCTCAGTTGTTTTTTCATGACTGAATCTGCCCCATGGCATAGTACTAATTTTGCATCTAATATTTTTCTTGTTGAAAAACAATCTGGTTTTTGAAATGTATGGTCATTTTTGTTTATCCTATTTTAATACCAGGTGACTTGGCACGAAATTGCAAGGCCTCAGATACATGGATATGACCTGAAATGTTTGGCAATGATTAATCGGTTTCAGTTTGTATCTGGAGCAGATGAAAAAGTTCTTCGTGTTTTTTCTGCACCTCGGAATTTTGTGGAAAATTTTTGTGCCATTACAGGACAATCACTGAATCATGTGCTTTGTAATGTTGAGTATTCCTCTAAATGTTTTACTTTAATCTAGTCACTTCATTTTCAATTAAAAAAATTTTGCTTTAGGCTATAAATGGAGTATCATGGGTAGAAAGGAAGTCAGTTGTTTTTATTGGTTTGACAAACTTTTGTGCGCACTCTGGCGTGTAGTGATTTAAATATTAAAACCAGAAATTTTGTGTAAGAAATGAGCTGAAAACACTGAAAGTAGCATTGTAGTATTTTAAGTATTATAACTGTTAGGTACCAAGAATAAAACAAAATATAAAAGTTAGGTCCCATTTTCAAGGATATTACTATGTAGCTATAGTGTAGGGGCAGGGGACAGTGAAACTAATGTATTTGCAATTATTAGATGATTCTAGTTAATTGCTAAATTTTTTGGTACTAAAGTAAGTTTTATAGAAGGTGGTCTCTATTAGAGTCATGAGAACAGGTTTAATGGAACTTCACTTAGGTTTTGGAAGAGGAAATTTTTATGTTTATACTATCCTTCAAAAGATTTGAGCTACTTATAAAAATACATGGATTATAAAAATAACTAATTTTGAAGAAGGGGAAATTCAGTAGGAAGATAGTTATGTTACACAGAAGGGCATATCATTCAGTCCTCTACTTGAGTTGGGTGACAAATTCGGTTCTGAGCTTGACAAGGATCCATGCACTTTGATAGGCAGAAGGAGGGAGAGAGAAGAAGGATGGCCAGAGCTGCTGGGGTACTGTTGGAATGAAAACAGTATAGAGGGAAATGGAGAGGGTGGGGGAAAGTCAAGTGGTGGAGTCTCTTGAGAGGCAGGCACAATTCAGACTGTGGAGTACTATTGGAGGCCCCTACATAAAGGAAGTGATTAAAAGCATTTTGGAACACAAAGTTATCTGGGAGCTCAGAGACTGTGACGGTAGAGAGAAACCAGCACCAGTCTGGGTAAGACTGGAGAAGAAAGTGACAGTCACTTGAACTGAGTGCCCAACTAAATTTCCTGGAGTGTATACTCAGCACTCCATGCCACAGGGTTTCTTGATGATGTGAAGAGGATTTAAGATTCTGTTCTGCTGTTTCTAATAATATTCGACAATGGGAATGAGATCAAAAGGAGGTCTCAATTGTGACTATTATGTGAGGGTACTTCAAAAAATTCACGGAAAGATTAATGTTATCTTTCAATTCTATTTTTCCACAAACTTTTGAAGTACCCTCATATAGAGCTAAACATATGGAGGTGGGAGAGCAGTTAGTGTTAGGATCTCTTGAGTTCTAGGGATTGAAATGGGGTTTTAGGATTCCATGAGAAACTTGTTCTCAGGTATACTCAGCTCCGTGTCCTAAGATACAGGCATCCTGTAGACTAGAAAGCTTATTGCCCTCTTTTGGATTTTCCTCCCATATTAAATGTTGGAATAGGTAGGTAGGAATGCTTCTTACTGCTCTTTTCCATGCATTTTATCTTTATTGGTTTCTGAGATAAGGAATGCAGTTTCTTATGTCCTGGGTAGCCATTCTTCATGGTGGTTAACATTCTTGTCGCTCATTTTTGTGTCTAGTTCCAGCCCCTGTATTGAAGTCTAAATTGTGAGAATCACTCTTAGCATACGGGCATGTGCCAGTTTTGATGGATAGCCTGTAGATTCATGTGTAATAATTTGATTGATATAAATGGCAGAGTCTAAGCAGATTATTGCCTCTTCAAATGGCACTCTTACAAAGTTTTAAAATATTTAGTTATTTAAATATGTTTAATAGAAATACTATGATTGTGCCTTTATGGGAGACATATGTGTTTACATGAGCATCAGGGATGTGCTTGTGAGACTGTCTTGGAAATAGAGCTCTGGGCTTTCCATTTTTAGCCCATTGCATTCCTTGTCATAACCTGAAACCCACTGAGATGTTAGGGTTGGATGAGCTCTAATGGATGACAGGATGCCTGACTTTATGGTTTGGGTGCGGATGTGGGCTAGGTAGGGCTTAACATTGCATCTGTTGGTTCAAGAAGTAGAGGTGTGGGCAGACATCCACACAAGATAGTCTGTAAACTGTTTCTCAGCATTTGTGAGCACAACTTTTGGTAGTGCTTGAGGTAACAGTAACCTTTAGTGTTTAGAACTTATACATCATATTTTTTATTCCAGCAAGACAGTGATCTTCCAGAAGGAGCTACTGTCCCTGCACTGGGATTATCAAATAAAGCTGTATTTCAAGGTAAGGATTTAGTGTCTAAAATTATCAAATCCATAGTCATTCTTAAAACCTAGTTACGGGGCCGGCCCGGTGGCGCACTGCTACAGTGCGCCGCTTGGGAAGCGTGGCGGCACTCCCGCCGAGGGTTCGGATCCCACATACAGACCGGCCGCTCACTGGCTGAGCGAGGTGCGGGAGCAACACCGAGGGTTGGATCCCGTTGCCCGTCCCGGTCCGGTCCGGGCGCGACACTGAGGGTTGCGATCCGTTGCCGGTCACGAAAAAAGACAAAAAGGGGAAAAAAAAAAAAACCTAGTTACACATTTGTATAATGTATACCTAATGTTACAGCTGATTTTTTTTTTAAGTCACAATACATGTGTCTAGTCCATCAAATATTTCATGTGAGAAGTACTCCGTGTACACACTTTCACAGTATATTTCATTGACGACAGATGTTAACTTAGGTGGGTAACCTAAGGAATCTGTTGCATAGTTTAAACGGTTTGGGAAGTGTTAAGTCAAAGAAAGTGAAATCTTTATGTAATTAATCAGTGCTCCAAGGAACACATTTGGAAAATACTGGAGTAGTGGAAATATCCTTGGCTTTGGAATCACGTGGAGACAGCTTTGAATTATACCACTTTGTCTTTTTTTTTTTTTAAAGATGACCGGTAAGGGGATCTTAACCCTTGACTTGGTGTTGTCAGCAACACGCTCAGCCAGTGAGCGAACCGGCCATCCCTATGTGGGATCCGAACCCGGGGCCTTGGTGTTATTAGCACCACACTCTACCGAGTGAGCCACGGGCCGGCCCGAATTATACCACTTTGGACTGCCACTGTTTTTTAACTGGTGGCCTTAATATTAAGTCAAGTATAGGAGATATAAAGATAGTGACAATATTCATGATGTTAATGTGTTTCTTTAAACTAGGAGATATAGCTTCTCAGCCTTCTGATGAAGAGGAGCTGTTAATTAGTACTGGTTTTGAGTATCACCAGGTGGCCTTTCAACCTTCCATACTTACTGGTAAGAAATGGCAGATATATGATTTACTAAAACTGCTAATACACAGTGTGCTATCTGGCTGCTGACCAAAATAAGTGCTATAGAATTCACTCTTTTATTTGGATGAAAATAGCAAAAATAATTATAATACTATAAATTTGTTGTAGAACCTCCCACTGAGGATCATCTTCTGCAGAATACTTTGTGGCCTGAAGTTCAAAAACTGTAAGTTAAACTGTACTTAGCTCTTTGGTCTGATTTTGTCATAACTTGAACTCCCCCCCCGCAAAAAAAAACTTGAGTTTCTCCTTTGCCTCCCTGCTACGTACATTTTTCTTCCTGCTCTATAAATCTTTTAGTGGCTTTCCACAAGGGGTGAGAATCAAGCATCATTTTGACTTTTATATTACTGTTTATTATATTTATTAAGTTTGTTTATTGATCTTAATTTTTGAAGTTAGAGGGGCATAACAATATAAAATTTTCCTTTTTTAAGAAGACTTTTAAGTTTAGTTATTCTAACTGGTCATTTTGTCTTTGATGGTTGCCTATCAGAACCTTTCCATGGTTTATTGTTTGTTGTACTGACTGGATGGGGTAGGAGGTGAAGATTTGTATGATAATCTTATTGTTTGAATGAATTACATCACTTCTAGTAAGCTGACATTTTTCTCCAGTCTCCCTGTTTTTTCCCCAGATATTTGCCTAGACAAAAATGTAATGTTCCTTAAAAGAGTAGTATGTTAGCTGGAGAGATTGATGTTATTCTTTTCGCTTTTTAAAATTTGCAGCATGAGAATAGGTGCATTTACTAATATAGAGGTTGTACATTTTCTCTTTTTAAATTTTAGATATGGACATGGTTATGAAATATTTTGTGTTGCTTGTAACAATTCAAAGACTCTGCTTGCCTCAGCATGTAAGGTAGGGAAATTTACTTTTGATTCTCCTCAGTCACAGGTTATTTGGGTCATCAGGCTCCTGCAAGTTTGGTAGTGATTTAGGCAGAACTCTACATGAAAGGCTGCTGGTGCCTGCTTTTTCTGAATCTTACTTTCTCAATTTCTCTTTTCCTTTTGTCCCTTCAAAAGCTTGCAGTTGCATTTTAAATCTATTTCAGCTGCACATTTTTGTTCTTAAATACTTGGTTTGAGCTGATTTATACCCCCTGCGCAGAATGATTTAATCAGGTATCTTAAAACAATACCTAAAAATGTGGTAATTTTAAGTAACTAGAGTGCTGGAAACAGGAATGAGAAGGTGAAGCCTGGAGTGAATTCCATCAGACTTTTTTTTTGAGGTCACTCTTGGCAGTGTCCTAAGTGAATGGAGTCCCTTAGCCCATGACAAGGTGAAGCAGGGTGATGGCAGATTAAGTTAGCCACCACAGCACATGGTACCGCAGAATAGTGGACTTCTGCAGTTGCTGAGGAGGATGATCTGGAACTCATGATTCAGTATTTATCCATATTTAGGGAGGATTGTCTGAAGGCTCTGGAAACTACACATTCCTCCACATTTTCTAAAATTTATTTACTTGTTTTAAATATGGTAAGGAGAGCTTCCCGCTTGGATGGGCTCCTGTGTCCCTGCTTTTGCTGTGGATTCTTGCCACTGATCTACATTTAGAGACATAAGAAATATAGCTGTGTTCCCCGTACTACATTCCCCTAGCCCCCACTTGTCCATTCTGTGAGGATGATACTGAGAGTACTTCTTTCTATATAGGGTCCTTTGAGAAGAATGGGGCTTAGTCCTCTTGTGGCTGTGCTTCTACTAACATGCTAATTTGTTTTTAGCTTAGGGCAGTGTCAGTCGTTTATTTGATTATTTTTCACTTTTCAAGTTGGCTCACTTGTAGCAAGTATGTGCATCTTTCTTTTAAACTAACATTTTTTTTAACAGCTTTTCTTTTTTTTTTTTAAAGATGACCAGTAAGGGGATCTTAACCCTTGACTTGGTGTTGTCAGCACCACACTTTCCCAAGTGAGCCACTGGCTGGCCCCTTAACAGCTTTATTTAGGTGTCATTAGCATACAATAAATTGCATGTTTAATGTGAACAATTGGGTAATTTTTAACATGTTTATACCTGTGTAAAATCATCACTACAATCAGGATAATGAACATATCCATCAACTCCAAAATTTCCTTTGCCCCTTGGTAGCTCCTCTTTCCTGCCCCCTCCCTACCCCCTCCTGCCTCCATTTTTTGGAAACCACTATAGGTGCTTTTTTTTTCTATAATTTTATATAAATGGAATAATATAGTATGCACTCTACTTTTGGTCTGACTTCTTTTATTCATCATAATTGAGTATTTGAGGGCCGGCCCGTGGCTCACTCGGGAGAGTGTGGTGCTGATAACACCAAGGCCGCGGGTTTGGATCCCATATAGGGATGGCCGGTTAGCTCACTGGGTGAGGGTGGTGCTGACAACACCAAGCCAAGGGTTAAGATCCCCTTACCGGTCATCTTTTAAAAAATAAAATAAATAAAAATTAAAAAATAATTGAGTATTTGAGCTTCATCCATGTTATTGCATGTATTGATAGTTCATTCCTTCTTATTGCTGAGTAGTTTTCCCTTGTACAAATGTACCATAAATTGTTGATCCATTCACTTATTAATGGACATTTGGATTGTTTTCCAATATTTGGCTTTTACCAATAAAGCAGTTATGAACATTTATATGTAATCTTTGCATGAATAAAGGCTTTCATTTGTCTTGAGTATATACCTATGAGTGAAATTGCTGGATGAAATGGTAGATACATATTTAAATTTTAAGACACTGCCAAACTATTTTCCAAAGTAGTTATACATTTTACAACCCTACCAGCAGTGTATTAGATATCCAGTTGCCTTATACTTTCATTAGTACTTGGTATGGTCAGTCTTTTTAACTTTAACCGTTCTAGTAGGTGTGTAATAGCACTTTGTGGCTATAATTTGCATTTCTCTAGTCACTGCTGATGTTGAGCATCTTTTTGTATACTAATTTTCCATCCATATATCTTTGGTGAAATTTATCTATTCAAAAGTTTTGCCCATTCCTTTATTGGATTGTTTTCTGATTACTGAGTTTTGAAAAGTTCTTTATATACTGTGGATACAACTTTATCAGATATGTGCTATGTAGATAATTTTTCCCAGTGGCTTTTCATTTCATTCTCTTAACAGTGTCTTTCAAAGAGCAGGAGTTTTATGTTTTGGTGAAGTTCAGTTTATCAATTTCTTTGGTATTGGGTTGTGTCTTTTGTGTTGTATCTAAGAAATCTTTGCCTAACTCAAAGTCACAAAGGTTTTCTGCTATGTTTGTTCTAGGAGTTTTACAGTTTTACATTTAGACCTATAGATACATTTTAAAATTAATTCTTGTATTTAGCGTGGAATATAGATTAAAGTTGATTCTCTCATGTGGAAGTCCAGTTGTTGAAGCACCATTTGTTGAAGAGAGTGTTCCTTTGCACCTTTGTCAAAAGTCAGCTGTCCATATATGTATGGGTCTATTTCTAGGCTCTGTTCTGTTCCATTGATCTTTTTTGGCATGATGCCAATATGTGGAGTATACATAAAGCAAATATATATCACAAGGCCTGGTTTTCCAAAGCCTTGCAGTTCAAAATGTTAACTTTGTAAAAGACAGGAAATTTTCCCCAGGCTGTAGTCTCTGTTGTAAGATAAAGAATTGTAACACAGCAAGGTTGCTGGCTCAAAGATAGACAGGTTACTGATTGATATGTAAAGATACTGGGAAATTGCTGTAAGAAGAGAATGTTTGCTAAAATCAAGCTTTTGTTGGTGGATCGACTTAACGTCTTGCAAATCGCATTATGGAATGTCACCTTGCTTGTCTCATTGAATGTTACCAGCTTCTATTGTTAAACTTGTTAAACTACACATAGCAAAAACCCCACTGATGTAACTCTTCCTGTAACTTCCTGGTCTGGAGAATAAATGTGGGAAGAAAACCCCAATTCATGGTTAATTTCCAAAATGGAAGGAATGCCTGTCTTTTGAGGGTTCTGGGAGATTAACCCCTTGAGGGGCTTCTCACTGCTCGGAAGAGATGGGCTTTTAATAATCTTTGGCCGCTCCATCACCCAGGGGAAAAGGAATAACAAATCCGTGGGAGGCAAAGCAATACCAATACCATGCTCTCTTAGTAACTATAGTTTATGATAAGACATTGAAATTAGGAAGTAATTGTCTTCCAGCTTTTTTTTTTACTTTTCAACTTCTTTTTGGCTATTCTAGGTCCTTTACTTTGCATTTTAGAATCAGCTTGACTTTCTACAGAAAATACCTGCAGGAATTTTGATGGGGATTGCATCAAATTTATAAATCTCTTTGGGGAAAATTTTAACAATATTGAGTATTTTAACATGTGAATGCAGTATGCTTTTCATTTATGTAGGTCTTTAATTCTGCTCAGGAATAATCTGTTTAAAAAAAAAAACTTTTATTCTGGAATAATTTTAGATGTAAAGAAAAATTAGAAATTAGTATCTAGAATACCCATGTACTCCTCACCCAGTTTTTCCCAGTCTTAACATCTTATCATTATTAGGAATATTTTGTAATTTTCAGTGTGAAGCCTTGTACATATTTTGTCAGATTTATTCTTATTTCATTTATTTTTATATGACTATTCATAGCCTATGTATGGAAATACAGGGGTGCTTTTTGTATATTGTCTTGTATCCTGAAATTTTGCTGAACTCATTTATGAGTTCCAGTAGCTTTATTGTAGATATCATAGGATTTTCTGCATAGGTGCTTGTGTTGCCTCTGAATAAGGAAAGTTTTATTTCTTCTTTTCCCATATGGGTATCTTAATTTTTTTTGTTTTTTGAGCTTTTTTTGGCAACTGCCCAGTAAGGGGATCCAAACCGTTGACATTGGTGTTATAACACTGTGCTGCTCTAACCAACTGAGCTAATCACCCAGCCCCTTGGTGTCTTAATGTTGAATAGAAGTGGTGACAGCATAAATCTTCACCTTGGTCCTCATATCAGGAACAAAACACTCAGTCTGTCCATTAAGAATGATGTTGCTATAGCTTTTCTGTAGCTCTTCATTATCTGCTTACAGAAGTTCCCTGCAGTTCCTAGTTTTCTGAAAGTCTTTTTTTATCAGGAATGGATGTTAGATTTTTGTCAAACCTTTTTTTTTTGGTCTACCTCCTTTTTTGTTTATTAATATATTGTATTACATTGAGTTTTCACATAAAACAACTTTACATTCCTGGAACCAAACAATTTGCTAAAATTTTAAGAACTTTTACATATAGTTTGTGAGGAATATTGCTCTGTAGTTTTTTCCCCTCATAATGGTTTTATCTGGTTTTGGTGTCAGTAATACTATCCTCATAGAGGTTGTATTCGTCTGTTTGTGTTGCTTATAACAAAATACTTGAAACTGGGTGATATATAAGGAAAACAAAATTTATTGCTTACAGTGTCTGAAGCTGGGAAGCCATCTGATGGTGGTGACAGTGACCCAGGGGTCTCCCATTGCAAGATAATGGAAGCAGAGAGAGAGAAAGACAGACTATCCTCTTCTTTTTTTTTATTGTGTTTTTTTTTTTTTTTTTTGTCGATATACAATGTGGTTGATTATTGTGGCCCATTACCGAAACCTCCCTCCCTCCTCCCTCTCCCCCCTCCCACTCAACAATGTCCTTTCTGTATGCTTGTCATGTCAAATCAAGGAATTGTAATTGTTATGTCTTCTTCTCCCCCCTGGTTGTGTGTGTGTGTGTGTGTGTGTGTGTGTGTGTGTGTGTGTGTGAATTTATTTATTTATTTTTAGCTCCCACAAATAAGTGAGAACATGTGATATTTCTCTTTCTGTGCCTGACTTGCCTGACTTGTTCCACTTAATGTAATTCTTATCCTCTTCTTTTAAAGCCCTCAGAACCACACCATTTTTAATCTGCTTACTGTGGCAAGGTCCTACAATCTAATCACATCTTCAAGGCTATACCTTTCAATTACTGTAATAGTATTTCCCACCCTCTTAACAGTCACAGTGGGGACCAAGTTTCTAATACATAAAACTTGGGGGTTATGATTCAATTCAAGCTTCAGTGAGTTTTGGGGGACATTCAATCCACTACAGAAGTATCTCCTCCTCTGCAGTTTACTGGAATAGTTTTTGTAGAATTAACAATATTTCTTTTTTGGGCCGGCCCGGTGGCACACTGGAGAGTGTGCTGCTTGGGAGTGCGGTGGCGCTCCCGCCGAGGGTTCGGATCCCATGTGGAGACCGGTTCCCGCTCACTGGCTGAGCGCAGTGTGGGCGCGACACCGAGGGTTGCGATCCCGTTACCGGTCAGTAAAAAAGATAAAAAGGAAAAAAAAAAAACTATTTCTTTTTAAAATTTTTGGTAGAATTCCAAATAAGCCAACTGATTCTGGAGTTTTCATTGTGGGAAGGTTTTTAACCACAGATGTTACTCCACTTACAATGGGGTTATGTCCTGATAAAACCATCATAAGTTGTAAATATTTTAAGTGGAAATGCATTTAATACACCCAGTCTACTGAGTATCATAGCTTAGTCTAGCCTACCTTAAACTTGCATAGAAAACTTACATTTGTCTGTAGTTGGGTAAAATCACATAACAGAAAGCCTATTTTATAATAAAGTGTTGAATATCTCAGGTAATTTATTGAAGACAGTGAACTGTGGAGTACAGTATCAGTTGTTTACCCTCATGATTGCATGGCTGACTGGGAGCTGCAGCTCGCTGCCACTGCCTAGCATCACAAGAGATAGTACAGCCTGGGAAGAGTATCGCTAGTCTGGGAAAAGATCAAAATTCTGAATTCGAAAGTACAGTTTCTATTGAAGGTGTATCGTTTTCACACTGTTGTGAAGTCTAAAAAATGACGTCAAGCCATCGTAAGTTGAGCACTTTCTGTACAGTTGTCTCGTTATCTGTGAGGAATTGGTTCCAGGACTTCCAGCAGATACCAAAACTTGTGGATTCTCAAGTCCCTGACATAAGACTGCATAGTATGTGCATATGACCTGTGTACCTCTTCCCATATACTTTAAATCATCTCTAAATTACTTATAATCCCTAATACAATGTAAATGCTATATAAATAGTTGTTATACTATATTATTTAGGGCATGATGACAACAAAGAAGTCTGTACATGTTCAGACACTTTTTTTCCTGAATATTTTTGATCTGTGTTTGGTTGAATCCACAGATACAGAGGGCTGTCTATATATGTAATTTCTTTAATAGATATAAATAAGACTATTTAGGTTATCTAGTTTTTCTTGACTTCACTTTGGTAATTTATGTCTTTCAGGGAATTTGTCCCTTTGAGTTGTCAAATTTACTGGCACAAAGTTATTCATAATATTCCTTATGATTCTTTTAATATCTGTAGATTGATGTCACCTTTTTTATTCTTGCTATAGGCAATTTGTGTCTCCTACTTCCCCCTCCCCCCCCCTTTTTTTGGTGGAGGGAACATTCTAAAAACTGAATAGTAAATTGATGATTTTATTGATATTCTTAAAGAACCAGCTTTTGGTTTTATTGAATATCCTCTGTTGTTTTTCTTGTTTCTGTTTTATTTATTTTTGCTCTGTTTCTGTTTCCTTCCTTCTAGCTACTTAAATTGCATTTCCTCTTTTATTTCTAATTTATAAGTAAGATTAAAGCTGAGGTTAATGATTTCAGATCTTTCTTCTTAATATCAGTGTTTAGGCTATAAATTTCCCTCTAAATATTTCTGAAGCATTCCAAAAATTTAGATATATTGTGTTTCTTTTCATTCAACTGAAAATACTTTTGAATTTCCCTTTTGATTTCATCTTTGACCTGTGGACTATTCTGAAATGTATTATTTATTTTCCATATACTGAATGTTTTTTCTGTTGTTGACAACAGATATTTTTCTGTTGTTGATTTCTAATTTAACTTCACTATGGTCAGAGAACATAGTGTGACTTGAATCCTTTGAAATTTAATCTTGGAAAATTTTCATGTTCACTTGAAAAGAATGTGTATTCTGTTTCTGTTGGGTGGAGTGTTCTGTAATATGAATTACATCAGATTGGTTGATAGTATTGTTCATGTCTTATTTATCCTTTTAGTTTTATTTAGAGTGGCATTTTGAAATCTCTGACTATAATTGTGGACTTGTCTGTTTATAAGCCATCCCTATATAGGGATCTGAACCTGTGGCCTTGGTGTTATCAGCACCACACTCTCCCAAGTGAGCCATGGGCTGGTCCTTATCCTTGCAGTTTAATAAACTTGTGCTTTATGTATTTTGAAGCTCTGTTGCTAGGTGCATAAAGATTTATGATTATTATTTTCTCAATTAATCGACTTGTTTATGATTATAAAATGACCCTCTTTATTTCTGATATTGTTTTGTGTTCTAAAGTCTGTTTTGATGTTAATATAGCCACTCCAACTTTTCTTTGGAGTATTGCTTGAGTTACATCTTTTTCCATCATTTTATTTTTAAGCTATTTGTTTCCTTTTATTTGATGTGGGTTTCTTAGAGACAGCATATAGTTAGGGTCTTGCTTGTTTACCTATTCTGACAGTCTTTTATTTATAGGGGTGTTTATTAGATCATTTACATTTAATGTGATAATTGATATGGTTGGATTTAAATCTGTCATCTTGCTATTTGTTTTTTGTTTGATCCATCTGTTCTTTGTTCCATTTTACTTTTGGATTAACTGATTATTTTTTATGATTCCACTTATTTCTTCTGTTTGATTAGTATATATAACTCTTTGTTGTGTTATTCTATTGGTTGTTCTATGCTGATTTACCAGTCTGTCTTCAAGTAATAGTGTCCTACTTTAAGTAAGATTTAAGAACTTTACAAAAGCATACTTTCATTTCTTTCTATGTTGTGGTATTTTTGTTTTACATTTTACTTTTTCATAGAAACTCCACAATATTTTGTTATTAGTTTTGTTTTAAGCAGTCAATTATCTTTTAGGTTTTTTTTTTTTTTTTTTCCTGGTGGCTGGCTAGCATGGAGATCTGAACCCTTGACCTTGGTGTTATAGCACTGTGCTCTAACCAAATGAGCTAACTCACCAGGCCCAGTTATCTTTTAAAGAGATTTAAGGAAAAATATTTTCCCTCAGATATCATTTTCCTTCTGCCTGAAGGATGTTCTTTAGCATTCCTTAATGTTATGTAATGCAGTTCTGCTGATCATGAATTTTTTTTAACTTTTGCCTGTTTGAAAAATCTATTTCTCCTTCTTTTTTTTTTTTTTAAAGATGACCGGTAAGGGGATCTTAACCCTTGACTTGTTTAATGCAGTTCTGCTGATCATGAATTTTTTTTAACTTTTGCCTGTTTGAAAAATCTATTTCTCCTTTTTTTTTTTTTTAAAGATGACCGGTAAGGGGATCTTAACCCTTGACTTGGTGTTGTTAGCACCACACTCTCCCAAGTGAGCTAACCGGCCATCCCTATATAGGGATCCAAACCCATGGCCTTGGTGTGTTATCAGCACCACACTCTCCCAGGTGAGCCACGGGCTGGCCCTTCTCCTTCATTTTTAAATGATACTTATGGTAGGTAAAGCATCCTTGGTTTACAGTTTTTTTTTTTTAATATGTTAAAGATGTTACTTCATTTTGTTTTGACTTGCATTATTTCTGATGAGGAGTCTGCTGTAATTTGTGTTTGTTCCTCTGTAATGGAGTTTTTTCCTCCAGCTGCTTTTATGGTTTTATATTTCTCACTGCTTTTAAACAATTTGATTATTGTTATAATTTTCTTCATGTTTCTTATGCTTGGGTTTTATTAAACTTATTGTTTTCACCAAATTTGGAAATTTTTCAGCCATTATCTTTTTATGCATTCTTTTCCTTCTCCTTTTGGAGACCTACAGTTTAACTTAAATTTGGCACAGTTCAATAATGCTCTTTTGCTTTTTCCTTTTTCTTTTCTCTCTGAGATTCATTTGGTCTCTCAGAGATCAGTGTCCTTTGCTACCAGATATCTAGTGTTTTGGAGTGCTAATGTTTCCTGTATTTTGTCTAGTTTTTTTAGTTTTTTCACAGAAGAGAGTAAATCTGTTCCTTGTTAATTTATGTTGACCAGAATTGGAAGTCTCTAAACTGTTAATTATGCAATTAATACACACATATTGTTCTTATAAAATGTTAAAACATTATGATTACAGCATCAGTTCCTGATAATTTGTCTTTTCTAATCCTAGACTTCTCTGCTGCTTCCCAGAGATTAGACCTAGTTGTAATATGTTATCTCCTACGTTTTTGGGGGTTTTTTTTTTTTTTTTGCATTTAAACAGATACATAAAATATACCCACAGAAACAAGATACTTTTAAAAAATGTTTTTCTTTCAGTTTATTTCTACTTAAATAGCTTCATTGTTTTATCTCTGTCCTCCAGGCAGCTAAGAAAGAGCATGCAGCTATTATTCTTTGGAACACTACATCTTGGAAACAGGTGCAGAATTTAGTTTTCCACAGTTTGACTGTCACGCAGATGGCCTTCTCACCTAATGACAAGTTCTTACTAGCTGTTTCCAGAGATCGAACCTGGTCATTGTGGAAAAAGCAGGATACAATCTCACCTGAGTTCGGTAAAACAGCTTCTGATTGGGAAGGTTATTAGTGAAACAGTTATGTCCATTTTATCCACATTAAGCAGCTAGTGGGTTAAGAGAAATAGGAAGATAGCAGGGTGAAGGGCAGACAGCCTCACGCTATGAAGCCTTTCAAAGTTCTGTAATAACTAAGGAAGACTTGACCTTCCTTGTAAGATTTAAATGCAGGTGATCTTTGGGTTCACCTCTTTGTGATTGTATAATCAGGAGGGCACACGTTCAGACGTCTCAGATAAAGAAACACAAAAATCTGTATGTAGAAAGCTGAAGTTTTGCATATGGTTATAGAATACCACAAAACCAATGAGTAGCATTATTCTGAGCTAGGATTTTATGGGACAGGAATAATGAAGACACTACTAAAATGACACTACTAAGAAAACGTGTGCTTGAGTAGTTTCTTCTCTCTGAACTATTTTATAAATATAGTAATGTTTTAAATTATGAAATTTAGAGGGATCATTATCCTTGGCCTTTTCCTATCCTCCCCTGTCACTTTGGTCATTGGGAAGGGCGTGTTAGGTATCCCTCGGTGGAAACATGACCCCCAGGCAAAGTGATAACCTATGTACCCGAATTCCACTCTGAGCCTGGCATAAATTGAAAAGAAAGAAAAGAATAAAAGCTTTGTGGTGGTGTAGCAGTGGCCTATTCCTATTCTCCCAGTTTCTTTTGGTGGCTAATTTTTAGAGAATATTTAAAGTGTATTTGTGTTGTTTAATACTGTTTTTATTTTTCCATTGATATGACTTGCGTACAGTTTGATCTTAGGATATTTCTAGTCCCTTAATTCCTTGTATTTTAGAGATTGTCTGGGAACTATAAAACATACTCAGCATTGTATGTTAGAACAGACTATTTTCTTTTGCATTACTAGTGATTTCCTAACATGCAGTGTTTACTTGTTAAAAAGTTAAAGTTATAAAATGCTTATTAATTTGTTGTATCTCTATGGATTATGGATTAAAAGATATACTTGTTTTAGATTAGCTCATATAAGGGCTAGAAGTTACCTTACATTTAAGTCTTACAAGGAAAATATTTCAAGGCTATTTTTTTTCTTCCCCAATATTGTTTAAATGGTACATTAATCTTTTTTCCATAGCCTTATATGCAAATCTGGCTACTTCCTCAGTAAGATTGAGAGGCTTCAGGCTTCTTCCATAGGCATAAATTGAGCCTTTAGTTGAGTGTATGGAAAATGTTTGTCATCCGTTACTAGAGAGAGTCAATATAAAAGCATCTCCTACCAGAAAAGTAATTGTATGCCCACAGCCTTCTGGTGAGGGGTTCAGTTGCCTAGCCTCAGTCTGTTGCAAAAGTCAATGCAGATAAATTGATTACTAAGTCACATGATGTATATATATATATATAGCATTTAAACTTAGCTTTCTAACATGTGGAAAAAAACAGCTTTCTCTTCTTTGTGAGTTGTGTGTATATATTTCTTTCAGATCCAGTTTTCAGTCTCTTTGCCTTCACCAACAAAATCACTTCTGTGCATAGTAGAATTATTTGGTCTTGTGATTGGAGTCCTGATAGCAAGTATTTCTTTACTGGGAGTCGGGACAAAAAGGTAATCTTTTAAAAACAATATTTTTTTCAAATGTAAAATAATATTTTTATAGGCTTTTCTTGTTAAATTCTATAAATACATTTTTCTGAAATATCAAAAAAATGAAGAGAGGATCTTTCAGACGTATCACCTTTATCAGATGGCCCCAGTGTAAGAAAAGTAACAAATGAAATGAATAAAAACCAAGAACTAGGGGCCGGCCCAGTGGCGCACTGCTACAGTGCGCTGCTTGGGAGCGTGGCGGCGCTCCCGCCGAGGGTTCGGATCCCACGTACAGACCGGCTGCTCACTGGCTGAGTGAGGTGCGGGCGCAACACCGAGGGTTGCGATCCCGTTGCCGGTCCCGGTCTGGTACGGGCGCAACACTGAGGGTTGCGATCCGTTGCCGGTCACGAAAAAAGACAAAACGGGAAAAAAAACAAAACAAAACCAAGAACTAAGAGTATAGGAAGGGGAATAGGAAGCATAGGGAAAAATAATTTCTACTTTTATGATGCATACTTCTGAGTTAAAAATTTTTTCTATAATGAATGATTATCACCTTTTTATTCAGTGGTAGAAGCTTTGAAAAAAATCAAGGTAGCTAGAAATATGTTCTTGAACAAGACCTTCACCCTTGTTCTCTGGGAAATGTTCACCTGACCTCTGGTCTTTCCTCTGTTTTTCATCCTCTTTAGAGTGTCCTTTCCTTTTTCTGTAGTTCCTATAGACCAGTTTAACATTTCCTTTTCTCTCCCTGCCCTCTCCAGTCATGGACATGGTACAAATTACTAAAGCGGAGGGTTAGTATGGGCACGGTGTCACTCAGGTTAAACACTTAAATGTCAACCTCTAAAGCATCTTTCTCTCAGACGAAAACTTCTGTTCATTTGCCTGTTTATTAACTTCTTGGTGTTTGTTTGCTTATGCTGTTCTAGATACTGAGAAAGCAAGACTGCTTCTGCCCTCTGCAGTCATGCACAGTAGAAGGTGGACCAGCTGCTGATCTCAGGGATATGTCGGGGCTGAGGTGGACAAAGCAGCTGCACATTCTCTGAAACATACTACTTCTGCTCAGTCTTGCTTTGGTTCTGCATTTTGCAACTGTTGTCCACTTCATGTCCCTCTCCATTTCTTTGTGACCAATCACAGACCCTTGAGGCGTGAGCTTCCAGGGAAACCTCGTTTCTTATGAGGGGTATCATCAAGGTTAAGTCCTCCTGAGAGCTGAGTTGATTGTCCAAGCAGTGGGTGGTGAAAAGGAAGAGATAGAGACTTGATTGGTCCCCATAAATTTTGTGGTAACTTCTTGGGGAGGTGCATGAGCCCCTTCATTAGAACACGTCCAATGGAATTTCACTGGATCGGAACCAGTTTATGAATGTAAAGAGCATGCTGGCACCCCTCTGGTCTGTGGGCAGGGACAGTCCGTCTTTGGACCAATGTACTTAGATAGTTGAGATCTCAGAGACTCATGTCTGCTACACTGTGGCTTCTCCGTGGTGCTTGAAATGCTCTGAAGTCCTAGGACATCACACAAATGTAAATGCTGCATTTTAAAAAATACCAGAGCGAATATTTTGTATTATCTATGCCATCAAAATTCTATAGTGTATTTTTACATTGTGTTTTACAAAGTGTGTCTGTCTGTGTTAGGTGGTTGTCTGGGGTGAGTGCGACTCCAGTGACGATTGCATCGAGCACAGCATCGGCCCCTGCTCCTCAGTCCTAGACGTAGGTGGGGCAGTGACCGCCGTCAGTGTTTGCCCAACACTTAACCTCTCCCAACGGTCAGTCTCTGTGTGGGGCTTAGTTTTAGATTTTTCTTTAAGAGGACCTCTTGGTGTCTCAGCATGTAGCCTTATCATTTCATTTATGGGTTCTCTTAGCTTTTTTTTTTTTTTCATAGAAGCATTTTTTTGGGCTTTTATTATTATTTTAAACTGGCACGTAATAATTGTATGAGGATACTTCAAAACGTTTGTGGAAAAAAGGATTAAAAGATAATGTAAGGGCTGGCCAGTTATCAGCACCTCACTCTCCCGAGTGAGCCTGGCTGGTTAGCCTCTAACTCATTAGAGCATGGTGCTGAAAATACCATCTATCTCTTAGTTTCTGAGTTGCTGTTTTTCCCAAAATGCTTATGTTTCTCATAAGAATTTTTAAATTGATAGGACTCGATTCAGAATGGTAAGACATATTAGGAATGCGACTTGGTTCTTATTTTACCAAATATCGGACTGTAGTGCTTTCTGTGTAACAAGTATCTTCAACAGAGCAATGGTTCCTGGAGCCAGCTGGGGAAATACTGGTTCATGGGCTTTGCCAGCAGAGGACAGAGATAGACTTTTGCGTACTTCTGTAGAGAGGAAGCTCCTTGAGAACACAATAGAGCAATGCCACATGTCCTGGGGTGATGACTTTAAACAGAGTCCTTTGTAAGCTTGGGCCAGTTGGGCCACTGTGAAGAACTACCTTAGAGTGATGATGCAGGTAACAAATCCATGCTAAATTAATCCCTGTCATCCCCCTCCTTTAAAAACAGATATGTGGTTGCAATAGGATTAGAGTGTGGGAAGATTTGCTTATACACCTGGAAAAAGACTGATCAAGTTCCAGAAATAAATGACTGGACCTGCTGTGTAGAAACAAATCAAAGGTATTTTCTTCCTAATTTTGTTTCTATCAGATTGAATAGAAATTGTGGGGTTTTTAGCTGCAAATTTTATGCCACATTTTCACAGAGAGGGATACAAATCTCTGTTCATGGTGTTTACCACTAAGTGGTGCCTCCTTGTTGTAAGTAATCTCTTGAAATTGTTACTATATTACACTTGGTTTTTAGAAGTTTGTTTGACCAAATTGCTTATTTGCATAATATTGTTTTTATAAACAAGGCAAAAGTGATTTCATGATGATGTGGTTTAGAATTTGACTACAATAGATTCTTAATAAAATTTTATTCAAAATGTTTGTGCTTTTTTGAAATATTATAGTTTGTGCTTTGGTAGTTATGTCCTTGTGATTGAACATTTCATCTCAGATCTCGTAGTGGAGGAAACTGCCAGGTGCCTCCCAAAGCCCCATGACTGGCTTTCAGGCACAGCAAGAGCTCCCTGAGCCTCACACCCTGGGCACAGGCCATTGCTACCTGAGCACCTGCTGTTTACACCCTCTTCCCCACCACCACCCACTTAGATAGCAGGGATCCTTTTTATTCTTCTTTTTCTTCTACCCATTTTATTCTTCAAAAATGTCTAAGCTTTCGGGCCGGCCCGGTGGCGCACTGCTACAGCGCGCCGCTTGGGAGAGCGGTGGCGCTCCCAATGAGGGTTCGGATCCCACATACAGACCGGTTCCTGCTCACTGGCTGAGCGAGGTGCGGGTACAACACCGAGGGTTGCAATCCCGTTGCCATAAATTTATTATTTTTTATTTTTTATTTTATTTTATTTTATTTAAAGATGACCGGTAAGGGGATCTTAACCCTTGACTTGG